GGCTTTATTCATTTCTCAGGGCCCTCTGGGACCAGGATAAGACATTCACTCACTCATTCATTCATCATCTGTTTGAAAAAAGTCCCTGGGCCTGCTCCAGGCTGAGCACAGAACGAGGTGTCAGGACTCAACAGCCAAGAGCACAGGCATGCAACTCCCAGGGAGGCAGGCTGAATGGGGACAAGGTGTGGCCTGGGAGGCTGTCCCCCTGGGGTGTGAGAGGGCTGGGGCAAGGGCAGCAGCTCAGGAGCAGAGCCTTGGAGGCTGGGATGGACTTTGCATTTTAGTCCAAGTGCAACAGAAGAGGTGGAGCCGGCTTTGATGGACTTTTGGAAATGTCCTCTCTGACTGCAGAGGATGGGCAGGCAGGTGGGAGGGCAGGTGGGAAGTGGTTCCCTGGCAGGGGGCGGCGGCTGAAGGAGGGAGCAGAGCACCACAGCAGCCTGCCAGGCATCTGGGGGTCTGGGTGCATCCCCGCCCATGGGGAGCAAGTACAGGGGCACTGAGGAATGAGGAAGTGCCCAAGGGCTGCTGATAGGCCAGGTGCTCATGAATCATATCTCTGAATTGGGAGATTATAGGGACCAGTGAGGTGGGGGGGCACAAAGAGCACTGGGCAGGGCCCAGCCTCTCAGCCTGTTCCGCACTGCAGACAGGTCACCTGCCTCCCTGTGCCTGGGCTGCCCTTTCTGGTGTCTAGAGGACGAGTTGAAGTGTCAGTCAAGAGCAGGCCAAGTTCAAGTCCAGGTGTGTTACTGTGGAAAGGGCCCAAGCTCTGAGTGTGACAGGCTGTGCTGAAATCCGAGCTCTGCCACATCTGAGACTGTGGGACACCAGCCACTTTGTGTCTGGGAGACCACGCTGTCCAACTTGGAGAGACCTGTTCCCTAGGACAGGAGGGCTGCCTTGTCACTGTTGTCCCGAGCAGTGCTGCAGCCGGCAGGCCTTGGTAAATGCCCTGGCTGAAGGAGTGCAGGGCACTTTGCTTTGGCTGGGGAGGGTGGGAGAGGGACCTGGCCTGGGGATGCTGTCAGGAAATGGAGCAGGAGGGTAAGGTGCTCAGGGACCCAGGCATCAAGAGCCTCTGGTGCTGGGGCTCATGGCAGGCTGAGGAACGGGCGCAGGTAGGCCTATGTCCCAATCGCCAGAGAATGTTACCTTATGTGGTATCAGGGCCTCTGCAGATTGATGGATTAAGGAATTCAAGATAGGCCTCCATCCTGGACTGCTCAGGTGGCCCTTCCATGGGTCCTTCTAAGAGGTCGGGCTGCAGAAGAGGGGAGGGAGGGTGGGAATGAGAGGTGGAGTGGGGGCAGTGGGTGGGCATGAGCCCTGGGGCACAGGTGGCGTCCAGTGCTGGGGACAGCAGGGGATGCTGCCTGGGATTCTCCAGAAAAGACTGCCCTGCCCACACCTTGACTGCAGAGTTCTGAATGTGTGTTGTTTTTCAGTTTAAAAAAAAAAAAGGTAGTTATTTTTAACATCAGCGACAAGAAGAAAACCAGAGATGTGCTGTACGCAGCAGGAGACAGGTTCAGTGGGAACCTGGGGACAACAGGGGATCCGTGCTCTGGGAAGCTCACCAGGAGTGGCCGAGCAGGCCATGTAGGGGATCTGTGTGCCGGAAAGCTCACTAGGAAAGACGGAGCAGAGAGACCCTAGGAGGCGAGGAGTGTCCAGGGGAGTGGGGGTGAGGAAGGGGCAGACAGAGGTCCATGTTGGGGCGTGGGCTGCTGGCTGGCCACAGGGAAGGAGCAGCAGCCAGTTTGGCCCCCTGTCTCTGGAGACCCCCTGGGCTGACCATGCCCCCACTCTGCCCAGGCAGGCTGAATCGGTCCCCTTTAGCACCCTTGGCTCAGGCAGACAGCCCAGCCCTGGCATTGATAAGGGCCGCGGGTTGGCGCTGGCTCTTGACCCCAGTAGAGAGCAGGAAGGACCTGCTATCAGTCAGCAGGGAGCCCGGAGCCAGCCTCAGGGAGCCCCATGGCCCTGGCAGCCTCAGTGTGAAGATCGACCTCTGGCTGCTCTTGGCCTCCTGCAACTTCCATGCCTTTGACCTTGGTGTGAGGTCCTCTGACTGCCCCCACCCTGCCCTTGTCTGCCCAGCCCCTCTGCCCCCTGCCCTAGGGACTGTGGCCTCCAGGAGGCCCTGCTCTGTCCCCGGCTCTGCACTGCTGTGTCAGCCAGGTGGGCAGTGATTCTTAGCTAGCCTTGGCCCTTCACCAAGGGTGGGCGTGAAGATGAGAGAAGGCAGATGGGCAAACCCGTGGGGTGCCTGGAGCAGAGGGCACCGGGAGCTGGTGCTGCTGTCTGCGGTTGCTCAGACCTCAGCTTGGGAGCTTCTTCCCAGTTGTGCCACTTGGAGTGACTTACTGGAACTCCCCAGCCCCAGTTTCCTAACTGTAAAGTAGAGTGGATACGGACCCTCCTTCCCAGAGAACAGAATGAGGTCCAGCCCCTCCTGGGTGAGAAAGGCTTTCTGTTTGCATTTAAAGGCTCAACTCAGAAGGCAGTTCTCTGGGACAAGCTCCCAGGGACATGTACTGTCCCTCATGGCTGGGGACACTGAGTCTCAAACTTTGGCACCTGCTGCTGTGAGCAATTGCCCGTCTATTCCATAATTGGATGATTAGTGATTCCAGGAGGCCAGAGCAGAAGTGTGGGCAGGGCTCACTCTGGCTCCCTGTGCACCTTGGCCTCTGGGATGGAGTGGGAACGGGACAGTGCAAAGGCAGCTTATGAGCCTGGGAGTGGAACAGGGCTGAGTGACCCAAAGCAACACATAAAAAGTGCCACCTGCCTGCTCTCTGGCCCTCTGCCCTGGTGTGTGCTCATCTGTTTTGTTTCTTTTTTGCACTGTGAGCTAAACCAGCTTTGCCTTTGAGGCTGCCTTCTGGATGAGGGACTGGAAGGGACATGGAAGAATGGGATCAGATGGGCATTAGGTCCACCATGACGGGGCAGGGATATACCCTGGTGGCGGGGTGGGTGTTGGAGGATGGACTTGAGAGGGACAGTCTAGATACCAAGAGGCCAGAGGGGAGGCTGCAAAATAGCTCAGAGGCAGAAGCAATAGCACAGGAGCGGGGAGGGCCCAGGTCCCAAATCGGTAGGGACACTCCATGCCTACAGGGGTGAAGCAGCTGCAAGGGGACCTGGGGCCCAGCGAGGCAGGTTTGCCCACAGCTGTCCATCAGAAGGAGAGCCCTGGTGTGGGTCTGCAGCATCTGCCCACATTCTCATAGTGTGTGCGATGCTTAGAACCCAACAGCAGACCCCAGTTCTGCTGGGTCCACATTCCCTAGCTCAGGGGGACTTCAGGCAACTCCAGGAAACAGCTAGAAGGCCCCATGGGAGGAAATTGAGACCCAAGAGCACAATGACTTGCTCAAGCCACAGGGTGAGTGAGGCAGAGATCAGAGCAGAGCTTGCAGCTCACCTTCCATAACTCTCATCAGTGTCAACACACAGAATGTCATTTCCACATCCCTGGCCCTCAGCATAGGCCCTGGCATGTGATGGAAATCTGACAAGTGTTTGCAAATAAATGAATGAGCAATGAATGGATGAATGGTTGGATGGGTGGATGGATGGATGGGTAAGTGAAGAGATGAATGGGTAGATGAATAGGTGAATGGATAGATGGGTGGGTGGGTGGATGGATGGGTGGATGGATGGATGAATGGATGGATGAGTAGATCGATGGATGGGCAGATGGATGGGTAGATGGATGGATGGGTAGATGGATAGGTGGATGAAGGGATGGAGAAGGGATGGGTGGATGGGTGGATGGATGGAAGGAGGTATGGATGGATAGGCGGATGGATGGATGAATGGCTGGAGGGATGGAGGGAGGGATGGGTAGATGGGTGGGTAGATGGATGAATGGAGGAAGCAAGGGATGGATGGGTGGGTGAAGGGATGGTTGAATGGATGCATGGATGGGTAGATGGGTAGATAAAGAGATAATTGAGTAGATGGATGGATGGATGGCACAGTCTACAGGAAGAGAAAGAAAATGACATTTACTGAGCAACTTGTACGTGCTAGGTATTCTACCAACACTCTTTCCTGCACTGCTATCAACAGATGACATGGGACCAGGAGCTGTCTTTCACACAATGAGCTTCCTCAGTGTCACTCAGCTCATGGGTGCAGTGTCCCCTAATGCCCTCCCTGGCTTGTCCCAGTGGCTTTATCTAAATCTCACTCTGTCTCTTTACCTTTTGTGCAAGTGTCTTCTTTCTTTTAATAGCCCTGCAATTTGGCTTTCTTCTCTTTCCCCTCCTGGACCAATGCCCAGCCTCCTCCCTGAGCCTCTGTGGTTTCACCCAACTCATTCACATCAAAAGAGTCCTCTTCCCAAAGCAAAGTTCTGTTTAGGTTACCCCAGCCCTTTTGTCTAACCCTTGCATCTTCCCCAAACAGCTACACTCTTGGTCTGGCCTTTGAGGACGCCCTCCTGACTCTGATGTCCTCTCTTCCCACTGACTTGAGCAACCCTATGGTAAGAGCTGGTGCACAGTAAGAGCTCAATCAATGCTGAATACAATGAGTTTCTCCTTTAGCCCAGCAGTCCCATCAGGTGACAGATCAGCACCTGACTATCTGAGTGTTTCACTGCAGCGGTAAGTTATGGGGCTGGCCCTAAATTGGAGGCCCAGCTCCACCACGACACCTAAGTGGCAGAGCTGAGCCTCCAATTTAAGTCTCCAGAATAGAAAGACAACATAATTAGAGAGACAGGCCCATGCGTTCTGGAGCAAGGGCCCTCTGTCCATGTCCTAGCTGGGTGGCCTTTGACAAGTTCCCTGAGACCTTCTTTGGGATCCTTTTGAAATGGAGGCAAAATATTCTACTTTAGGGAGTCCTTGGAGGAATTAAATGAGATATCATTTGGGAAATGCTTCTGGAGGGTCTTGGCCACCATGTAGCAGAACCCTGGCTGCTGTTCACAAGACCCCTCCAGGGTCCCCTCCTGTGTGTGAAGGCTGCCTTACCTGTCTGTGGCTCCCTGGGGTGCAGTGACTTCGGTCCCACTCCACACCTGCAGCTTGAGGGATTTCTCCTCCTGCCACCTGGGTCCTCGGCTGTGGCTCCGTGACAGCTGAGAGTTGTTCAGCCTTAGGGACCTCAGGGAAGCCTCATGGGAGCCACGGTGCCCGTGCCTGCAGCAGAAGAGCTGCTGGTAAGCTGTGCGGAAGTCCCTGTTGAGCGCAGCATACAGGATGGGGTTCAGGGCCGAGTTGGCGTAGCCCAGCCACAGCACAACGGCTTCAAAAACCTCATTGACGGCATCGTCCCCTTTCAGCCCACGGTAGACGAACACGGTGAAGTAGGGAAACCAGCAGATGATGAATGCACCCAGCACGACAGCCAGCGCCACAGTGGCTTTGTGCTCCCTGATGGTGGCCGCCCTGCAGGAGCTCATGTGGTTGATCCTCCTGGCCTGCTCCCGGGCGATCTTGAAGATGCGATAGTAGGTGACACACATGACCAGCAGAGGCAGGTAGAAGGTGACCAGCCCGTCCACCAGCCCGTACACCTCGTTGACCTGCACATGGCACCTGCGGGTAGTGTCGTTGCCCTTGCTGGCCTCACCCCTGCTGTTCCAGCCCAGGTGAATAGACAGGAAGGACAGGGTGATGGAGATGACCCAGATGAAGACCAGGGAGATGGCCACACGAGCTGGAGTGACCATCACAGGGTACCGCAGTGGGTCCGTGACGGCGCAGTAGCGGTCGAGGCTGATCATGAAGAGGTTGAGGATGGAGGCCGTGCAGAGCATCACGTCTAGGCTGGTGTAGACGTCGCAGAAGACCCTGCCGAAGGTCCACCTGCAGGACAGCTGGTAGATGGCAGAGAAGGGCAGCACCAGGAGGCCGAGGAGCAGGTCAGTGACCGCCAAGGACACGATGAAGCAGTTGGTGAGGCTGCGGAGTCGGCGGTTCAGGCCCACAGCCAGGCAGACGACCACGTTGCCAGCGACAGTGACGAGGATGAGGACCGCGAGCACCATGCTGAGGGTGACCTTGAACACGGTGGACTCCAGGCCACAGGAAGGGGCTGTGCCATTGGACGCCATTCTGGCTCCCAAAGCTCCTGCCCTGCCCTTGGCCTTTTGGTTCCAGCCACTGGGCTCCAGACTCCCAAAAGAGCCCAAGGCAAGGGTCCATGTGGGGGAAGGCTTCAGTGACTGACCCAACGCTATTTTCTAGAAATAAACCAAGCAGTCCCATAGGTGTGGGGCATGGATATGAATAACGAAGAGCCAAGGGCGGGGACGTGAAGCCAGGCTGGACACTCCAGCTCCAGAGGTTCCCGAGGAGCCAGCTTCCTCCCAGGGCTGCGGTAGCTCTCCACTCTTCAGGCTCTGCACGGGGACAGAGGCACCAGAGTGCGGCACTGAGGTGGCCTTGATTCTATGTGGGAGGGATCTCACATAGACGCAGCCATATCCTTCTCCATAGCTGGCACCGTCTTCTGCCCATGTTATTGGGTTGAGGACGGGTGGTCTCCCTCTCTGGGGCGACTGGAGCAGGAGCTGAAAAAGTGAAGGGCAAGTGTTGAGCTTCTGAAATGAGACTGGGAGCCCAAGGGCATTCAAGGTGAGTTTCTAGCCCTGCGCCCCCTGGAAGGACTCCGGGGCATGGGGCCCACCTGGATGCCTCTCCTTGCAGAGACTGGGGCGATCAGGGTACAGGGCGGGGAGGGCAGGAGCAGGATACACCACATCCTGGGGGAAACTGCGGGAAGGGCTAGGAATGTCTATACAGAAGAGGAAGGACCTGGGCACCAGCTCTCGGCTTTGGGAGAACAGGGACTGCACCAGTCTGTCTCCTTCCAGGTTCCGTAGCCCACAGGTAGGTAGCATCCCATGAATGAATGACAGGCTGAATGGATGAATGACAGAAGCACTCTTTGCTCCTGACAAGTGCTGAGAGCCATGCCTGGTGCTGCTGTTGTGACAAAACATCATCACACTCTAGCTAGGGGCCAACAAACTTTCAGGAAAAGGGCAGGTGGTATATTTCCTGCTTGGTGGCCAGTAAGGCATCTGTCACAAGGATTCAACCATGCCACATTCAAGAGAGCATGGCTGTGCTCTGATAAAACCTCAAGGAGGATGCGGCCATGTGCGTTTCAAGTGTTGCAAAATCTTCTCTCGGCTGTTTCCGATGATTTAAAAATCTGGAACCTTCTTTCCCTCCCTCCTATAAAGATCACTTCAATCAAACAGCTGCACACACAATGCCTCTTGGTTAAATGAGAGTCCCTGGTCACCAGGGAATCTCCAAGACTCCTTCTGGTGGCCACATTCTGCTTCTAGCAGAACAAGCCCAGGCTGTGCTAGTTCCTGGGCTCCTCAGGCACATCCATGCTCCAGAGCAGCCAGCAGGGGATGTCCCCAGGTCGGACAGTGCCAGAATGGAGTGGCCGGCAGAAGCCCTGCCAGAAGCAAGCTAGTCTCCGGAAGGCAGGAGCTGGCCTCCCTCAGCCTCCCGTCTGGAGTGGCTTTGCATCCTGACACGAGAAGCACCATTGAATGAGAAGGACTGAGAGGGGCAGGAATCACGTTCCTGATCACCTTCTGCTGCCCTCCTGGCCACCCGGCCCTGTGAGCTGGCCTCTGGGCACTAGTTTTAGAAGGTCTGTTCAGTACAAAAGTGGCCCAAATAGCAGGAGTCCCACTGCCACACTTAGTTAACTTTGGAGGGGGTAGCAATAGGATATATATATATATATATATTTTTTTAAGAATCCCTGTTTCTGATCAGATTTCTCTCAGTTTCAAAAAGCTGAGTATAGATCGCCATTTTGGCATTGGGCTGGCATTTCAGTGTTCAGGGAAAGCGTCAGACCTGAGTGAACCAGCCTCTCGAAGGAATCAGAAATTCTCCCTGCCTCTCCTCTCCTGGCCTCTCCTGGAGTCTCCTGGCCTCTCCTCTCCTCTCCCTGCCTCTCCTCCTTCCTTTCCCCCTCCCCCCTTCTTTCTTCCTTTCCCTTCCTCCCTCTCTTCACTCCCTTGATACACTTCAACAGGTATTTCCTGGAGAATCTCACCACACCAGGTGCTGCTCTGGGTGCTGCTCCTGGTGCCAGGGGTACCAGGTGCTGGGGGGACCGGGTGCCATGGGGACCAGGTCCCATGGACAAGAGCTGTGCTTCTTTCCTTCATGGAGTTTCCAAGGAGTCGCTCCCAGCCATTGCTGTGTTAAGCCCAGTGCCCCAGCAGTCTGGGGAGACCTCCGGTGAAGGCAGGGGTCTTCAGGCAGGGCTCATTCCCCTTGCACCTGTGGGAGGATGACCACCTTAGAGGGTCACGTTGCCAACTTGCACATCAGCTTCCAATGGCTCCCTTTTGCCCACAAGAAAGAATCGTCACTGTCACCATCACAGCCTAAGTGAAAGGCACTCTCCCCAACGTTTTCTCAAACATCCAGTGTTCAGTGCAGTAAACCAAGCATCCTTGATACAGGCAGCAAAGACTGGCCCTTGGGCCATGACACGCCCAGGCACTTACATTGCCAGGTGAGGGCGCTGGCCATCTGGTGTGAGGGGGCCCCTAGACTGTGTCTGTGCCTCTGTTGTAAGCAAGCAGGGGTCCAAACACACCTGTGCATTACTCCGCAACTTCCTTTCCTTAGTTTCTTTTAAAATCGTCAGTGCATCATGGATGTCTCTCAGGTCACTAGATTCAGCCCACTCTTTCTGGAGCCAGTGTGTGGCAATGCAAGCCAACACAGGAGTCCCTGGGCAAGGACATCTGTGCTGGCAGGTTTGCAAGTGGCAAGAAATGGAAATACTGGGAGCATCAGTGCAGGGATAGTGCACAAGTACACATGCATATTAAACACGACTGACCTGCACAGCAGCCTCACAGGGGAGGGGGGGAGTCATCCACTCCACACAACGTCCAAGAGAGCAAGGCTCACAGGGACCAGGTGACGTCACACTCCCAATTAGCAGCACAGCCTGGGTTTAATCTCAGGGCTAAGGTTTGGACAAGTGTCCCCCAAAGGCCATGTTATGGAAGGCGGGGTCTCCAGCGTGGTCCTATTAGGAAGTACTGGATCCTTCGAGGTGGGGCTCAGTGGGAGAAACTGGGTCTTGGGGGTGTGCCCTTGAAAGGGATATTGGGACGCCACAACAGGGCCAAGGGACCCTGGAACAAAACCTCCGAAACTGTGAGCCAACATAAACCCTTTTCCCCTTGAAGTTGATTATCTCAGGTACTTTGTCATCGCAAAGGAAACCTGCTCAGCACACTCAGTTCAGTTCCTTTGACCTGTTTTTAATGCCAGTTCTTGGATCAGAGCAGACGTCCAGCTCTTTCCAATTGCCTCTCACTAAACACTCCTGCACTGTCCCAGCTTCACCATTAAGGCAACTGAGCACCCCCGGGCACAGCAGCCTCTCTCTCCTGCCTCTGCCTTGGCCGTCCCCACACCTGGGGCCCCTTTGCCTACACTCAGTTCAGCTCCTGGCCTTCTATGGTTCAGCACAGGTGACTGTCTCCTAGACGCTGGAGGAAGAAGCAATGTCCCCTGCACTTAAGATTCTGAGCACCTGCCACTCTGTACTGTTACCATGGCTTTGTCTTGTCCCCACACTGGAGAGGGAACCATCTAGGGCAGGGGCTGGATCCTTTCCACATTATACCCCCATCCCTGTGTCTTCCTTGTCACCCATTCCTCAGTCCTTCCTTCCTGCACCCATCCTCCCCTCTCTCCCTCCCTCCGTCCCATCTCCCCTCCCTCCCTCCATCCCTCCCCCGTTCCCTCTGGTCTCTGTCACAGGAGGAGTATAGGGACAGGTAGTGTGTATACATATGCATGCTGTTTCCCTACACTGGGATCCTCTAAGTGGAGCTCATCCTGGGATCTTGGGCACTGGAGGTCCGTCAGAGTGGTAGGTGAGAGGTGTCTCTAATGTCCCCAGTGTTTTACATCAGACATTTCCAAGCATTCTGGAGAGCTGACAGAAATAACCCAGCGTGCATGGCATCTCGTCCTCCTGTCACACAGATTTGGCAATGGCCTTCTCCACTCTTTTGGGTGTGTGTGTGTGTGTGTGTGTGTGTATGAGAAAAGACACTCACTCGCCCAGCCCCTTCCTGTTGGCGCAGCCCGCAGCTGTGTGGGTGTGCGATTCACTACTTCCTCTTGCGTCTTCCTATCTTGCCTTAGCGCCCTCAGAAAGGCACTTTCTGGAGAATTTCTCAAGAGCAGGTCCTCCTCTCCATTACCCGCGAGGGAGATTTCCTATCTCCATTGAAAGGCGTCATCAGCCACTGCAGCCTCAGCAGTGACGAGGCGGCTCGCTCTGCATCTCACCTGGGGTGGCCTCCATGAGCTGCACTTAGGGGCAGTCACAGCAGGGCCTCCGTGCATCTTGCAGACATGAGCTGATCCCTTCTGGCCACGCCAGCTCTGTGTGCTGAAGTCTGCTGGACTCTTCCCATCCTAGCTGGCTTGTCCTTGGCCTGGTATGTGGTGACCTGGTCTTGCTGCTTTGGCCTCGCTTCTGCCTGTGGGCCTGGGGTACTTTCTGTGCCCTGAAACAACGCTTCCAGAAATAGCTAAATGACCCAGTGAGAGGGTCCTGGTCCTGAGAATGGCAGGCCCATCCTGCTCCACCTTGGCGTCCCGTGCCCATCATCAGAAACACCCTCCTCCCTCCTGCTTCTCTGGCAAGCCTGGCCTCTGGTGGCCTCGGGTGGTCTCCTCTAGTCTTCCAGAGGTGGCTTCTCTATCCTTCTCCTTCCGGCTCTCACCTGCCCCACCGCCAGCAGGGGCTAGGAAGGGGGTTCCTCGACTGCACTGGCACAGTGCTGAGTTTTCAGGGCCTCAGGGGACCCTCCTCCTGGTGGGTCCTTGTGATTCGCCATCAGAACCTGTGCTGCCTGGAGCTGAGCCAGGGTGAGCCAGGAAGGCCTCTGTCCTATCCTGCCTCCAGTGACAGTATGGGGACTGGAGGGCAGGGGGCCACCCAGGCCTGCCCGATGGCCCGCTGCCCCCACTGCTCCTCCAGGACACCCCAGGAGAGGGCTGCTGGAGGGCTGCTCTCTGCACCCAGACAGCATGAACACGGAAACAGCAACCACCAGGGGCTGGTGTCTCCCCATTTGGTCAGACTGTGTCCAGGGCTCCTTTTTTCAAGGGGAAGTGAAATGGAGTTTCTCTTCTGTGGATGACACTTCACTTCCAGGCACAGCCCACACGGGGAAGCGGCACCATACATGGGCCACCGCCGGGCAGGCTGGTGAAGGCTGAGCTGATGGGGTTTCTCCCTCAGCCTCCAAGACACGCAGCTGCTCCAGGGGGTCACGTGCAGCAGGAATGCAGGCTGGCCTTCCCTGAGTGCACCTTTAGCCGGGCCACCTGGCCAACCTGTGAAGCAGGTGGTCTGTTCCTAACCCTCCAATAACAGACACTGAGCCACAAAGGGGAGCCCGGGGCTGAGGACAAAGGCTGTGACAATGGACAGTCTCTGTGCTTTGTGACCTTGGCTGACAGGTGTCAGGGTGACAATTCCTCCTTCACTTTCTGTTTATGAAGACAGTAGAGGGAGAGAAACCCCAGGGCCAGGCCCGTGGTTCACTCTCTCCAAATGTGACTTTTTTAGTGTCCAAATCTGTGAACTCAGAACAGCACCTGTGTGTGCTGCAGGCACGTGTGGAGCACCTCCCTGTGTGGCGCTGTGCTGGGGCTGGGGGAGGCAGCAGTGGGCTTGGCAGACACACTGTGCAGCGCCTCCTGCAGGGGTGGGGACAGACGCAGAAGGCCACCTGAAAAGTGCTTCTTTACTGCAGCTGAGTTCTGCGCAGGGGCAGTAGATGTATGTGACGGCGTCTCAGAGCTAGTCTCGGGAGGCGGTTTGAGTGGAGGTCCAGCACGCGTTCACCCCCACTGACTGTCAGGCTCGCACACCATAGCCCACACATCCCAGGCAGCCACACATGTCCACCTGAGGGCTGGGGAGGAAAGGACGTGTACGATGGCTGTCTCCACGGGTGGGTGGCGGGACAGGGGCTGGGGGATCACATTCCCCTTGGGAAATTTCCCATCTTTTAATCCTGTGGAAGTGGCTTTCACTCGAACCCTAAGAGCCGCACAGCTGGCCAAGAGAAGGGAAGGGACAGTGTGCAGGGCAGAGCCCGGGTCCCCGGGCTGCCCTAGGATGCGGTTGGAAGGGGCTCCAGCTGGGGCTGGCCCCTGGTCCTCACCTGCAAGAGCCCTTTACTGGAGGTCTTCTGCCCCAAGCTCACAGTCCTCCAGGGCCACGCCTCTCCCCCGTCCCTGCAGAGGTTTGCCGTCAGACTGTCCTGGTCTCCGACCGTGCCATGCCCCTCCAGAGCCTCCTCTGTTGTTAGGTACAGAGGGCAATGCCTGCCATTCCCCGGTGACCTGGCTTCTGCTGAGCTCTCAGCTGGTTCTCAGGAGGAACATGGATCTGGGGATGGATCTGGAAACTCTGAACTTGGCTCCAAGGCAGCAGGGACTCAATCAGCTGACCCTGGTCACCCAGGGAACTGGCAACAGAAAGGGAAGCCCGCCTTTTGATTCCTGCCAGCCAGCTCTCAGCAAGGACAAGCTGTTAGGAACTGGCACAGACGGGAACGCTGACTTCGAGTCAGGCAGGCCTGGGTGCTAAGCGTCCCGCCTCATTTAACCTCTGCCACCGCACTGGCAGGCAAGGGACTTTCACCTCCCCCATTTGAAAAACACAGAACCCCAAGACTCAAGAGCAGGAGGAGGAAAACTCAGGACCCAGGCCTGCCTGCCTCAGCCTTGTGTAGTTAGCAACTCCTGTGAACGGACACAGGCTGCCTTTGCATCCACAGCACAGGATACTTCCTCCTTCACCACCACACTCCAGGGCGTCTTTAATCTTTGTGGCTGCAGATTTCTAACCTCTTCCTCATACACAGTGGGCTGAACACTTGGTCAAAGTCCTGGAGGCAGGAACAGCCTCTGGTGAAGGCTACTCTATACAAGAAAGGGCCAGCCTCCCAGCAGGGTGGTCCCACTCTTCCTTCCCCGACCCTCCGCGCAGGCCCGAAGCCAGGCCTGGGTATTACTTCTGTCCTCAAGCGCGTCTTGTGCCCACACTGCAGCCCCCTTGGTGGGACCCCTCTGCCCAGCAAGGTCCGGGCGCTTGCTGCCCCACAGGTATGGACTCTCCAGCCCAGAGTTAGGTGGTGAGATCTTTTACAGTACAAGTACCAGTGAGAGAGAAGGGCCTTGCACCAGAAGTCCTCTGGGGAGAAGTCAGTCACATGGTCCCTCGT